ACCACAGGTAACTTTGGCATGTTAAGTCTGAATTTCATTTTACATGATCCAAGAATGTTGGAATTAAATTTGCTGCACTATCCTCAGTGCTCAGGTAATATTAATTATTTGTGTTATGGTAATGCCTAATAGACAGTAGTGAGCTGTGCTGGAGAGTCATTTGAGGAGACCCTCTCAATCAACTTTTTTCTTTCCGAGGCTTCCCCCTCAACATGCTATAAAACCTCTCTGCCCCTCCGTGCCATAGTAATTGGTTTTCTGTATTTAAAAGTCAGGATTGGCATTAGGGGATAGCAAGTAGGGCCATTGCCTGGGGCCCCATGCAGCAGGGATCCTTGTCTACTTACACTGCTCATGCTTTGGCGTCAGCCCCAGGTGCCAGGACTCGGGGACCAGGACTTCAGTTTGATATGGTGGGGCTTTGCCTTTCTTCCCTGAGACCAGCAAGTCTAATGCTGGCCCTGCTTGGTGCCCCCCATAAACCTGCTCACAGCCCCCTCCCCCCGGATTCCCCAGATTTTGGATAACAACTCCTCTAAATATTCTGTCCACTTACTTTCTCTTATGTCCCTTAACTTGCAAACTCACTTCTGCAGTCCTTGCATCTTAATTCAGAAAAGGTAGTGGAGCATGGCTCCTCTGACCTCCAGCTTACCTTGAGGTTGCGAACTGCACTGAAGCATCTGCTGGTAACAGTCCATAGCTTGGTAAGTTAAGAACTAGGTGGTAACTGGAGTTCCGAATGTCTTTTCTGCACACAACTTTCTTTTAGAGCCCTGCAAATCTGCAAATATCTGCGGGTCTCCATATTCTCTGCAGCTCATTTTTGCAGATACAGATGTGGATACACATTTTTTTTATTTGTGCAGGGTTCTACTTATTTTTACAAGCTAATTCCTATAATAAACAAATTCATGTACATTTACTCAGGTGGCAGACTTTTAAAATAAAGTTGCCTCGTGTAACAGCCAAGTTTGAAACAGTTTGATAAGTCAAAGGTGCAATTCAGTGTATTTTTGTATAGTTCAATGCGTTTAAGAGATCAGTGCTTCTCAATGAGATCAAGAAGCAGTATTGATTTACAGAGTTGGATAAAGTGTTCTTCATAAGAGCAGATGCAGAAAAATGATATGCAAAGATGGAGCACAGGAAGAAACAGTTAGCAGGGTTTTTGTATATTAGCTACAGGAAGGAGAAGAAGATGGAAGGATGTGACAGCAAGGCTAAGAATCAACCCTAAGATAAATGGAAAAAGGTGGCTTAAAGCTGAGTTGAAGCAAACATGTCTTCTTTAGGGAAGGTAGTTCTGGATAGATGGGATGATTGAGGGGAAAGAGGGTCTTAATCTTAGGGTTAGGGTTAGGTACTTGTATAGTCTCCCGTTAGTGAAGCATGTGAGCAGCTCCCAAACTTTTAATTTATTTATCCTCACAACATCTTTGTGGAGTAGGAATTGCTATTTTCCCGTAGGGGGAACAGAAATGCAAGGAAACAAAATAACTTACCCCTTGTCACAGAGGAGAGCTGTGGAACATCCTTTCTTCTCCCTACAAATCATGAGGAGTGAAACAAAGAGACATGGCCAAGCCTGACTGAGCAGACCAGCAGGAAACCACTTTTATCATAGGATTTGGTTTGATTGTGGTGTATGTAGTTGTGACTTAAGGCACATATTTATATGGCAACTACTTTTTGATAGAGAGGCCATACAACCAGGAGAGACCTCTGGAGTGTGAAATGAGTGTACAGGTGGGACTCTTACCCTAATCTCAACACAGATACATGGTTCTGTTCCAAGTGTTAGGAAAAAAGCTGCTGTCTGCCTTGCATGATGTGCAGTCACTACATGTGTGTAAAACATAACCATTCACATTTTGTTTTGCATATATTTTCATCTGTTAATGACCACACAAGGTGCATAGTAGTGGGGAACCGAGTCTGTGACTTCCCTACATGAGAGGAAATAGCATGAAGATTATCTCAGCTTCAGAGCAGAAAGTCCTGACATCTGTGAAGGGGAAAGGCGTGTTTTGACCAAACCAACACTTCCTCTGTAACTGTAATCTTAAAACTTTTCAGAATCTCCTGTCTGGGCTCTTTGCTTGCTTAATGACTAGAAACACTAAAGTCAAAACAACATTTTCTTACAACATTGAGATTGGTAGTTGGCAGTTCTGTGTGCAAAATTTATGTAATCCTGTATGGATTGTTTTGCACAACCCTACAATAACAAGTCTGTGTGTGTGTGTGTATAAAAGCAATGCAGAAAAAGATATTTTGATGAGGGAGCAGATATTTAATTTCAGGCTTCCAGCTGTGATTATAAATGAATAATCCAAAAGGGATTTTGGCTGCTGTGTGTGTGTGGAACTCCAGTAGGGCACTCTATTTTTTTTAAAAGAACATCTCAATTAGGCTGTCACAAATCCAAAGTAGGGTACAGAAAGTAGCAATCATGCCAATGTTTCTAATGACCTAGTGGAGTTTACATTTTAATATAGCTGAATATGTCTTGCCTTACATTCAGGGGTAGGCCTGTAGTGTGTCATAGACCTAGGCAAATGTATCCACAATTGTAATTCCACAACCAAAGCAAGAACTTGAAACCGTTTCTCGTATGTCTTGTTCCTTGGTTTTTCATATATTATTTTTTAACATTTCTGGTTTCATGTTGCTAGAGAATGCACAGGTGCGTACTCTCAAAGAAAGGGAGAAGCAATGCAGTCAGGAATTGAGGATGAAATTCATTTTATCCTATAGTCCAAGAAACCAGGGTTTGTGCAGTTGAGGAAGAGAAATCCCCTCCACTTCCTATGTCCGTATTCCAACCTATAAGCAGTACCAAGCAGTGATCCTTGTAACCTGCATGCCTGTGCAGCCACTCAGGAGAGATTCAGATGCTGCCCAGCTGATTAGCAGAGTGCCCAGGGCTAGGTTTTTTGTTTCTGTTGGTGGTGTGTATTTGCACATGCTTTAGCGCGCACAAAATTATTCTGCACATGGATGGAAAAATCCCGTACATGGATGGAAAAGTTTAGAGAGAACATTGCTTCCAAGATATATTGCAAATTCTGTATTTCCCTCTCCTGGGATATCCTAGCTAGCTACTATTGGTAGCCTTTGGCACAATCAATATGGAAGTCTTCTTTGTGACATGAAAAGGCACGGAAGACAGTATAGCTGTTGGGAGGGTTCAAAAGCTTCACCACTGGCTTCTCTCCTACCCCACACTGATCTAAAAGGGGGAGGGGGGGAATAGGCATGTTTTGGTCCTCTGTGCCTGGGTGATTTTTACAAGAGAACAAGTTAAGAATCTGAAATCTACTGGACTAATCCAGGGGAGTCTTTTCTCCCCTTACTTGTGGTAAGAGAGGTCCCTCAGCTTTGCGATCAATGTACATTTATTTAAGTGATGTATATTTGATCCTTGAAATAGCTTAATATAATTTAAAAAATATTGAATAGTCTAATAGCACCTTAAAGACTAACAAAAGACTAACAAAACATGTTGATGGTATCATCAGCTTTCGTGGGCACAACCCACTTCTTCACATGACTGCAGTATTAAAAGTCCAGATCCAAGAATAAATAAGGGAAGTGGGGGAGAGGGGGAGGAGAAAAAAGACAGTGAATAGATTGTTTTTATCAACCTCTTGTAATTTGAACAATTAGCACCTCCATTGTTTGCTCGGTTGAAGTCATAGGATGTGGAAGGTAGTGTGCCAGCCAGTCATTTTCCAGGATAGATTGTTGATGATATAATTGGGGGTTTCCCTTCATGCCCATAACTTTGTTTAGTTCAATAGTGAGGGTTCCCCCCTTTCTGAGAGACACTGATTTCACCGCCCCTGTGCCAGCTGAAGCTAGCTAATTCATGGAGTGAAGTGAGTTGAATCAGCTCCAGAAGGAAGCTGTGCCAGTCGGAGGTAGCTTATGGAGATGACATCCACAAAGTCTTTTTATGGTGAGAGAGAGAGTGCTGGGGGAGTGTGTGTTTCTATGAGGGGGAGATAATGGAATAATTCTTTCAGTGCCTTGTGTGTAGAGTGAATAGGCATTCACGTGACCTCATGTATTTACACTGTCCTTTGTTCTATTGAAAATAATAAATATCTAGGGATGTTAATTCTCTTTTAAGAGGACGTGACAAGAAGTGGGTCAAGAATGGTCTGCTATACATAAATACATCCTAGATCTAGGGCTGCACGTATGTATGTGCACTTGTATGCAAACTTAAATGATTTCTAAGGAATTAATTTACACTTTCGGACGTGCTGTTTAGACCCCTGCCAAGCAAAGCACTTAAGCACGTGGATCAAAGTTGTTTAGTTACCTTTGAATTCAGATTCAAAGTAAAGGGAAAATATTATTGTCAGGAAGCTCAGGAAGGCAAGGAATCTAGTTTGAACAAGGGAAGTAAGGGTGTAGCCATTTCAGTGGGTAACCGAGATGCATAAGCTTATCCGTTTTACCCAAATGGCTACTACACACAGCTCCCAGTCTGGCTCCCAACGAGCCACCTACCATTTCATATCGCTATCTCTTATACAGAGGCAGCAGCGAGGAGTGGGAGGCAGGAACCAGTACATGCAGAGAGCTGGCTTAAAAGCTGGCTCCCTGCATGCACCAGCTCCTGGGGAGCAGCTTGCTGTAACCGCTGACATTTTCAGCGGCTACATGGTTAGCCATTTACATGCATTTTAACATCTCTAATTTGGACCAAGTGAAATTTTATGCCTTCCTGGCAGGTCAGGAGGCATGAATCAATGTTTGTCACTCTCCCCATCAGCATCTCTGGGGGAAGCTAATGATCCAACCAGCGGGCTGAATTGAGTGGTGAAACCTGGTCACATGCCACCTGAGGCACGTTGTGCCATATGCTAAGAAGATGACTGGCAGGTCAGGTTGCTGAGTAGCACCTAAA